TTGATGCTTTTGAACTGTGGTGTTGGAGAAGACTCTTGAGAGTCCCTTGGACTGCAAGAAGATCCAACCAGTCCATCCTAAAGGAGATCAGTCCTGAGTGTTCATTGGAAGGACTGATGCTGAAGCTGAAACGCCAATGCTTTGGCCACCTGATGTGAAGAGCTGACTCATTTGAAAAGACGCTGATGCTGGTAAAGATTGAGGAGGAGAAGGGGGCGACAGAGGATGAGATGGTTGGATGGCATCACCGACTCAACGGGCATGAGTTTGTGTAAACTCTAGGAGTTGGTGATGGACAGGAAGGCCTGGTGTGCTGCAGTCCATGGGCTTGCAAAGAGTTGGACATGACTGAGTGACTGAACTGAACTGAACTGAAGCCACTCCAGCATCTTGCACATGAGTCTATTGTAGCAACTATCACACTGGTTTACAATTGTCTTTCCCATTCTGGATTGTATGTTCAGTATTTGACACAATGCCTGGTCCACAGTAAATGTTCAATGTATGTTTGATGGATTAAATAAATGAATGAATAAATGAGAAAATGAATGAAAGATTAAGAATACCATAAAGGAGAGAAGATAACATGGTTGTTTTTCTTTATCTGCAAATCATGTTGCCAAGGGTAAGTAGAACTCTATGGGAATCTAAAGCAAGGAGCCAGGAGACCCCAGTAGTGACCCCACCCCCTTCATAAGTGGTCATTCCAGGGGTTTGGAACAGCTCTGACTTATGTCACTTATGATTCACTAAGCTTTTCAGAACACATTTCATTTTCATTTCTCGAGGAACAAGGAGAAATGTGATGTTACGATCTCTGCAAGCATGCGTGCATGCTCAGTCATGTGTGACTCTTTTGTGACCTTATGGATCATAGCCTATGCTCATCTGTCCATGGACTTCCCCAAGCAATAATCCTGGAGTGAGTAGCCATTTCCTTCTTCAGGGGATCTTCCTGACCTAGGGATCAAACCCACATCTCCTGCATACTGCTTTGGCAGGCAGATTCTTTACCACTGAGTTACCTGGGAAGCCCTTAAGATCTTTAGCACTTTAATATAAATGGCCTCTGAAATTCTGAACTGTGTACAAACTGGCACTGTAGGAACAGATCAGGATTGTGTCATATCAGAGTGTAAGAAATTACTAAGAATCTATTTGAACTAAAATGTGATGTTAATAAGATCATGGTCCCTTGAGGAGTCAATCTCTATTTTAAAAATGAGTAGATTCTGGGATAGTACACTATTGGTGTAACCACTAATAATAACTTACATGTATTAAGTCCATACTACATGGTAGGCATTGGACCAACTCCTTAGTCAACTTCATACAGCCTTATGAGGAGAGTATTTTCTTTATTCTCATCAGTCTCATTTTATAGGACAAAAAACTGAAGCTCAAGACACTTAATTGTCAAAGGTGGCATTGGAAGTGGTTGTTCTGCTGTGTGAACCCAGGATATCTGGCTCAAGATCTTGTATTCTTAAGCATTAGGTGACATTGACAACCCCAAGTTACTTATATGCCTGATGACAGACTTTCAGGTTGGTGGGGGGAGAGGTTTGGGGGCAGGAATCCCTTAAAGAAGTCCTCAAAGCATCTTTTATTTTCTGAATCTAAACCTAATAAAAGATAATCTCCTAGGAATTAGCTTCTTTTCTGCTTCTAGTTTAACAGGGCTAAGGGAAGCACTTCTTTTTGGACACTTAATCATTGTTGTTACCAATTTCTGGGGAAGTTCAATCTATGTTTATATTTATCTACTGGGAGCTTAGTGTATATAAGTAAATTATATATTTAGTCCAAATTACAAAAAATTAATTGTATCCTTCTTTTTTTTAATGGTCTAAGCCTAAGAATGGTTTGGCTTGGAAACTAAGAGATCATTCTGTCGTTTCTGAGATTGCATCCAAGCACTGCATTTTGGCCTCTTCTGTTGACTCTGATGACTACTCCATTTCTTCTAAGGGATTCTTGCCCACAGTAGTATATATGATGGTCATCTGAGTTAAATTCACCCAGTCCAGTCCATTTGAGTTCCCTGATTTCTAAAATGTCAGTGTTCACTCTGGCCATCTCCTGTTTGACCACTTACAATTTGCTTTAATTCATGGACCTAACATTCCAGGTTCCTGTGCAAGATTGCTCTTTATAGCATTGGACCTTGTGTCCATCACCAGTCACATCCACAAGTAAATGATCTCTGTTTGTTTTCAGGGCAAATCATTCAATATCAGGGTAACACAAGTCTATGCCCAGACAAGTAATGCTGCAGAAGCTGAAGCTGAATGGTTCTATGAAGACCTACAAGACCTTTTAGAACTAATACCCCAAAGAAGATATCCTTTTCATTATAGGGGACTGGAATGCAAAGTAGGAAGTCAAGAAACACCTGGAGTAACAGGGAAATCTGGCCTTGGAGTACAAAATGAAACAGATCAAAGGCTAACAGAGTTTTGCCAAGAGAACACACTGGTCATAGCAAACACCCTCTTCCTATAACACAAGAGAAGACTCTACACATGGACATCACCAGATGGTCGACACCAAAATCAAATTGATTATATTCTTTGCAGTCAAAGATGTAGAAACTCTATACAGTCAGCAAAAACAAGACTGGGAGCTGACTGTGGCTCAGATCATGAACTCCTTATTTCCAAATTCAGACTTAAATTGAAGAAAGTAGGGAAAACCACTAGACCATTCAG